GCTGTATAGGTTGTCGACTGGGACTTATTACACAAGTGGGTGCTATTACTTGCTCTGTTGGTGATCTTGTTGAGTAACTTCCTTGCTCTGTTTCAGTTTTTTCTCACTGTAAAATGCTCCTCCGTGAAGCGATTTGAAGTCTTGTTAAAACGACTATGCAAAGGCTAGGTGATACTGTTGGGGCATGATTTTTCAGGAATTACCAAGTACACAGCCTTGGAAATCGGGAACACAAGACAGCTGAAGTAAAGCATACTGGATCACTGGTCATTTTTGCAATTTTTAAATCTTTTTACCTCTATTAAAAATAAGTATTCATTTACCTTTTATGTGGAAATTCTGTGGGTTACTTTGTCAGTTTTTATGAAACCTCGAATGCACAAATCGCCATGTTAATTTATGATTACTCACTTAAAAGAGGATTTATTTTTGGATTTGGAGCCTTTATTAATTTACAGAAATTAGTGCTTTCATGTAGATCCTGACTTTCTTCATTACTGTAACTCTAAGGATAAATGCACATTGAAAGATTTTATTCTTTCCAGCTTCTAAAAGAATTATAATTTGCCCTCAAATTATAAAGTTCAGACTGCTAAGCCATTTATTTACCAGAACTCTGTTTTTTCTGCATCATCTGTTTAGTCACACAAAGTAAGTGACTTTTCAAAGTTTCTGGTTTTGTGTTTTGTTTTGTTTTTTTTTTTAAAGAAAAATATTTTTACTTTTACAATTTGGATATTGTTCATGATCATCCAATGGATTATTTTTTGTTATTGTTTGTAATAGAAAATGGAATAAGGAAGAGGGTCTCAAGAGATATGCATGTATTAAAAATTTGTTTGCAGAGTCAGAAAGAATAGTTGAGGTTGGAAAGGACCTCTGGATATCATCTTGACCAGCCTCTCTGCTCAAAGCAGGGTCAACTACAGCAGGTTGCTCCAGACTTCTTCCAGTTGGGTTTTGAATATCCCCAAGAATATTCAATTCCACAGAATCTCTGAGCAACCCTTTCCAGCTTTTGACCATCTTCACTGTAAAAAGAAACGTTTTTTCTTGGATTTCTTGTAATCCAGTTTGTGCCCATCACCTGTTGTCTGTTCACTGGATAATACTGAGAAGAGTCTCGCTCCCTCTGTTTTACCCTCTCCCACCAGGCATTTAATTTTATTTGAATTATTTGGTTATTTAAAAAAACACATTCTTCAAAGATGCTGATGATATCAATAAGGTGATGAAATTAAGAGGAATTTTACTGCCTTAAGTTGCTTAATTCCTCCAGCAGGCATTCCAAATTGTGACAGTTTACTTTGAGGTCTTCTGTATTTGAGTTATTCTCTTGTTTCCATTTTGGCTAGAGGAAATGTGTGTGTCAATCGTTATTCTGTAAGAGAAATACTAGATCAAACGAATATTTTCTTCTTCTCTTGAGAAATGTGATTTAACTGTTTTGTTCAAATCCTGGCTTTGGTCTTATGTTTCCTGCCTTCTGCTCTCATCCTCTCTGTCCAATATGCACAGTCAACTATTTACAGATCATATACCTTTTGTCATCTTTCTATATCATTATGGTTCATCAAAAATTTCTGCTGAAATAATTTTATCAGGGAAAAAAGCTGATTGGAGAAAATGGAAATATCTATTGGAAAGTTTTGGTTCCATTGAAACTAACAGGAGCTATACTAGCTGTTTTGTTGGCTTGCGCCTGAACAGTTGCCAAGAAACCAACTGATGTGATCTGTAGGTGGGAATGTCATGAATGAGTGAGCTGCCTACCTGCTTGGTTTACAGCAAGAAATTTCTCATTTTTGCTGGAATTCCCTACTGAGCAGGAACTCCAAATTACAAGTTCAATATACAGTGTAGTTTTATATACTTCAGTTTGCATATGGTAATATTTATATGAAATTTTCATTGAAAAACACAAGGTTTTTAAAGGTTTATGTAGCTTCTTAGATAATTTTATTAATGTGAAGTAATATATCTGAAATGACCAAGGTTAATTTATTGAGTATATACTCACCTTCACTATCTGCCACTCTGATTAAAAGTGTCGCTTTTGACATGTGGTATCAAAACTTTAAAGTATGAGTGTGTTGGAGGCCTTGTATCTTCTTGGTGCTTATCTGCCTGTTGTTTTGTTATCTGTTCCTTGGACAGTCTGCCTCTTGGTCTTGTCGCTCCTCCAGGCTGAGGAGTACAACTTTTAACATCTTCCATCTGGGCCAGATTCTTGACACTTTTTCCTCACTAATTTCACATGGACTCTCAGTTTTATACTTTTTGTTGTTGTTTTTCATCTCATTACTCTTGCGGTATGCTATCTTACTATAAACAAATATCTAGCATGCTTTATTCATTTAAAGGTCAGCAGTTTTTGTGTACTAGCACTCTTGAAGCTCTATATCATGTGTATTATGTCTGTCAGAAAGTCTCACCTTTAGCATATACCTTGATTTATACTTAGTTTATAAGTAAGTTACAAAGGTAGTATAAGTTTGTAAGGGGATTCCTTCCTTTCTTTCACAGTCTTCATGCTGCTTAGGACCATTTGCACTTGTATCCTTCCTACAATCTTCCTGATTAGGCTTTCCAGATAAATGTCCAGCTTTACATGCCTAGGACATTGTTTTTTGTCCTGTATAACTATGCATGTAATTTTTTTTTTTTCATTCTGTCTTTCTTCTACTGACTTTGGTCTGCGAGCCTTTCTTTCTCCATGTTCAGCTGATCATCACTAACTTTTAAAGTGTTTTTCAGCAGCACCAGGAGCTTCTTAATCTCAGAAATAGCCCTGAGTGAAGCTTAGTTAAATCTGTTTTTGTCGTTGATAAAGCAGATGTCATGACCTTCTTGTCTTTTTCTCTGTGAATAGTCTTGTGTACAGGATCTGCTGTGTCATTCATAAAGATTGCTCCTCACAGAAGTGTTCTTTTATCTGAACTTTGAATCATTTAAGCAGAACTGTGAGGAGGACTTTTACTGTCAGCTGTCTGAGTAATCGTTTCGAAGTTCATGCAGCTCTTTAGGTCACCTTTTTTTGTGCAGTGTCTTTCCTCAGTGTCAGAAATCTTTTTTTCAAATACTGTTATACAGCACCTGCAACTCTCTAATTAGCTCCCTCTTTCTGCTGTAGTCTGTTATCAGCATTTAAAAATAAATAAATAATTAGTCCACTATGTTAGCGATGCTGATTGGCCTTTTGAGATCGATGTGGCAGTGTAATGAATGAGCCATATGCAATCCTTTTAAGAAGAGTATTTGTTCAAGCCATTCCTTTGGATCAGTGCACAGCCTCCTTACACCTTTTGTGGGTCTTCACCAAGCTCTTTGAAATGTTGTTTTATCTCATAAGAAAAGAAATGGGTTCAGACATATATATCTCTAATCCTACTATAAATTCCTACTGAAGGATGTGAACATCTTTTGTTCAAACACCACCAGTCCAAGCTAATCAGTAACACAAAGTATCACTGCATAGGAGCAACTTTAAATTCCAAATCAAGAAATGTTTACCTGCTTCAAATGAAAACATAGTTGAAAATCTTGCATATGTTTCAAGTATACTCTTGAAGACAGGTCAGACAGTTTGGTCAGTCATTTACTGACTAATCTCTCTGAGTAATGAGGAAATTTTTCATGTGGAGTCCTGGACTCTGTTGTTTGCCATCAACTGTAGGTATATAGACAGCATTATAACCCACTCAAGCCTTTGTTTTGCTGGACTGAAAGACAGTCATTCTACTGATCATCTATATTTTATATGCCTGCCAGTTTGAGTTCATCTTTCTTGACATGTATAATAATAGCATGCAGTTTACATTTTGATTTAGATCCCATCAGCTCCTTGTACAATAAGTCTGAAATTTCTGCATGGTTGATCCAGACTTCTTATATTAAGTAGTTTCTTTATCTTCTAGTCTCTTCTTCTGAGGTTCAGTATTCCATGCCAAGCAAAACTTGCCAAATGTGCTAAGCCTGCAGCTTCCTTTTTTTTTTTTTTTTAAACCAGGTAAGATTGAATTTAGGGTAAACCCTAGAATATATACGTTGCAGTATGCAGAAGACAACTGCCAACTGTACAAACACCATGCAGATGGGATGCAGAGTGTGTGTGGTTCTGGTATGTCGTAGCAAAGATTAAGTATCATTCTCAGAACCAGAGGCAGTTTTTTCTACTCAGGGTAAACTGTCCTTGAGCCAGTCTGTGAAGCCAACAAGCTGGAATTTGTTCTGTGACTTTGTATGTCTTGGTTTGCTACTCCAGATGAAGTTTGAGATTTAGTAGGATTTCCTTTCAGTCAATATTTAAGTAAATCATTCATTACTTATCAAAACAGATGGCATTGCTGTTTGAGGTATGCTGTTTCCAGGCAGACTAGAAAATCTGTTTTGCATCCCTTTAAAAGAACTCAAAGTACCCCCCTATGGGATTTGATTTTAGCAAATGTACCCAAGAGGATGCTATACACACATTGTCCCTTTTCTTTGGGTTCTGATGACTGTGAAGTTTCTCAGGACCTACATTACTTTTTTGTTAAGAGAGAATGTGCTCTCTCGTGCACGTGCTGAACGAAATCCCCATAGACTGTGTGGAAAATCACATTTTAGTTCTGTGAACTGTTCCTTAAGAAAACAATATAATATCCTTTCTGTTTCGTTTTTTCTAATAGAATGCTGCAGTATGAATTAGAAGAGCCATGTAATTAAAGTTTTTCTGCTTGAAGTAATCCGGTTGAGATTCATTTTGGTGTCATTTTCATGGCTGGGTTTATTTTTCAGAGAAATAGTCTCCTTATCATCATTGTTAGTTTAGTTTAAATATCATTTTCTGGGATTAGTATCTGATATTGAGCTGGTTAATGTAGCATTAGTTAAATGTGAAGATTTAAAGCAGATTGTTCGGTTATGAAATACTACGCAGCACAGAAGTATGCAGTTCAGATGTTATCTTTCTGTAATCCATTATTAGCTTTATTTTCTCTCCCTTTTAATTTTTACAGGAAGACATCTACATGTATGGAGGCAAAATTGAAACAAATAATGGCAATGTTACTGATGAGCTGTGGATTTTCAACATACACAGTCAAACATGGAGTACCAGAACTCCTGCAGTACTTGTACATGGCCAACAATATGCTGTGGAAGGTCATTCAGCACACATAGTAGAGCTGGACAGCAGAGATGTGGTTATGATTATCATTTTTGGATATTCTGCCATATATGGTTACACAAGCATTGTGCAAGAATACTACATCAGTAAGTCACTTTCAAATAATTTTCATCATGTACTGATAAAAAACATCCTGATTTTTTTTTTAAAGTCAAGAGCACTCCTGTTTTCAGAAAGAAAAATATTTATTTTGCAAAATAAATAAAACCTCATCTTTTTTCCTTCAAATTATGTAGATCAGATTTCTTGTTAAGCAGTAGCATGTTATATATGTTTGGAGTATAATGTCTTTGACTATGTGTTATTATGTACGTGGCCATAGTAGTCTAAGGGGGTAAATGTTGAAACCAGAAATTCCATGCAGTGGTTATTGTTGTGTTGAAACTTGCTTTTTTACCACAGACTTACTGTTTTTACCACAGAGTAGATAAAGTAAAATAAGTAGAGCAAAAAAAGAAAGGGCAAAAGAGAATACAATGAAAAGTGCCTACTACAATAACTTAGTTATTTTGAAGGTTCTTTAATGTTGCTGTAATATTTTCATTCTGATGTTCTAAATGTAATAACTTAGTTCATCATTGTATATAGGGTTCTCTCTAAAGTGTATACAAGTTGCTACTAGAGGAAATAAGAGAAAATTAACATTAATTTTTGTAAATAACCTGCCATTTCTGTCTGGGATTTCCCTTGCGAACTGGCAAGCTTTTCTTAGGGGTGATTTTAAATGCTAGAATTAAATAAACCAAGATAGTTTTTTCTTATACATAGTACATCTAAGATATTATTTCAATAGAATAAACATGAAAATCTACACCTTCTGATACATTTTTAGGAATATTTATATGCCCACTAATTCAAATTATAATCTTCTCTTACTTTTTTGCATCCCTTGTTTTCTATAGACTTGATCCACGTCTCTCAGTTATTTAAGCAATCACAGAATGCATAATACAAAATTTCAAAGTAATATTTTTATGTGAAGGCATAATAAATTGTTCCATTTTACTTTTTTTGCATGTATGCATATGTATATAAACACTGTTTAAGCAGATTTATTGGGTTGGGAAATCCCTTCAAAACAGAGAGTTCTTATGCTTCCTGATGGTAATGTTGAAATTTTATAACAATGTTGAACAAGGATAAAAGAGAATGGGAATAAGAGGAAGAGCACCATGATGTGCTTTATCCACACTGAAAAATTTGGTTGAACGGTATAAACTACTAAAAACTCTGCTCTTAGAAGGATGTTTCACAACAACATTGTAAGATTTGTTAAGTATTAAAGGCTAGTCTTTTTAAAAAACTTAATTTCTGAAAGTTTTTTTTTTAACCTTCAAGAGAGAAATTTTTTTTCTTGAAGATAAAAATAAGTTGTTCTAGTTTTCTGCATGCTTGTTCACTCTAATGTGGAATTTTGGATGGAACTTGGAATTATTTGCTTCTTCACATGCTGTTTATTTAGTCTGGAGTAGAAGTACTGGTATTATTCTCACCTATTATTGTGGTTAGTTTAATTATGAAGAGGAAAATGAAAAGGATGAGGAGTACACGATTAATTTTATAGTGTAAAATTTTCTGTCTGGCGGATTTTATTGCTGGCCTTATGGCTGAAATGTACAACTTGTTCCTATTTTAATTTTTTTTTTTTTAATGTTAAAGCTATGTTTGTGGAGGATTAATAAAACAGACTATAACTAAACATATAGAAAACAAAGAAAGAAAAAAACCCCAAACCTTTCGTACCATGGCAATAAGCTTTGAGTAGGAGAAAGCACTTATTTCTCTGGCAGTTATTATGGGTCTGAATTATTCTCAAGTTTTTTTGTCTCCTTTCTGAAATAATTTTATCACATACTAGTGAGAAATTTAGTTTGTTAGAGAAAGCATGCTTCACTTGCATCAAATATAAAGTAAACATGTAACAATATAGGGTATTACTGTGAAAACCCATTGATTTCAGTGAGTCTACTCACGTGATGAAAAATCATTGGTGCATGCAGTGCTTTGCAGAGCATGGTCTGTATGCTGTAACTGAACCATTTCTGGTGTGAGTAATTCTCATGTTTCATTTTACCTCATTGCATCTCTCTCCTTCCCCTCCCTCCTAAGTTAAATGAATTTTGTGGCAAACTTTCCGGAATTCTGTGTCAGCTGTAATATTTATCTACAGTTTTGCAGCTGTAGGATCATTTTTAACCATAAAATTCCAGACGGCGGTTTGAACTAAGAATGACTAGTTTTTTGGGGACTCAGAATCCAAACTTAAAAGACACAGGACGTGGTAGAAGTATTGCTGTGAACCCACCTGAACAGGAAAGAAAATTTGTTAGAAAAAAGGGCTTCTGTGACATTATGGAAAGAAAAATTAGAGTCCCATTTTCTCTCTCTCTGCTTGCTTTTAAAATATACATTGCCTTAACATTTAAAATTGTACTGCTTTATTCTTTCTAAATGTTATCAGCCATGGCTTGTAGTTCTAATGAAGGCTATTTTTCAAGCATTTACCAGATGCCTACTGAAAGAAAGAGGCATAGAAAGAGGCAACTTACCCTTTGGTTCATGTGAATTGAAACCTCTAGTGATCCAGTCCTGTTAATTAACTTTAATTAACTTGATAGGTGGAATTCTGGTGCTAAAGCTTTCTTTAGTTACTGTGACCCTGATTTTCATGGGGTCCGGGTCAAGAAACATCTAAAGAAGTTTAAATTATTTGTGGATTCCCTAGCTTTTCACATAGGTATGTAGTTCTTATTAACAAAACACATGAATCAAATGTGTGCATGGTCTAAAAATTTCTCTGACATTGATTAGTGAAGAAAGTAATTTCTATCAAAGTCAAATACGTTCTGGAAAAATCAGACATGGTTTGCAGGCAGATTTTCACCATGCAAAAGGACAAGAATTCATTTCTACTCCAAAGGTATGGTGGTTGTTGCAGGAACAAAAGTGCTTCCTGTTGTTCTTTCTTGCTATACCTAGACTTATGACTTTTGAGGAACCTATAAATCCTGGTATAGGGTTATATGAATGATTTTACTAACTTGAACCATAAAGCTTTTCTGGGTTACTCCCCAGGGAAATTTATTTCCCTTTAGGTTAGCAATACCTCATAAACCTTCTAAGAATCTCAATGTGAGTCTCAAGGTGAATATAATAATGGTGTTTTGTTTTAGCTGAGGCTTATAAAAGCCCCTTAAAGAAACTTCTGAATAAGTCTTCTGTGATTTTATTTTATTTTTTTTTTAGAAGACAGAGATTTGTTTGGATTAGCAGCATATCATGTTTTTTAGGCTGATTTTTTTATGACTTTAGAAGTAGGTTATAGGTTGCTTTTGATTAAAAATGTTTCTTTGAAATAGTGTTAAAAGAAATTGCCCTATGATATTACATGTGTTTCCTCTTTTTTGTAAGTTAGCATGAGCTTCATGGTTGCTCAAAAAATTTTAAAGTTTGTCACTGCAATGAAATGAAGATGGCACACTGAGGTGCTTCTTGGACATTCTGTTCTTTTTACCTAATCTGTTCAAAGGTTGTATTGTGGTAAGGACAGATCAGGCCAATATATCTAGCTTTCCTTGGATTTTTTTCATTGATTTATTACTGCATATTAAACAAAAATGTTTTTCAAATGTCTTTTTAGAAGCAACTTTGTATCAAAATGCTATTTTAATTATTCTATTTTGAAAGGTTTTTCAAATCTTTTTAGAAGCAACTTTGTATCAAAATGCTATTTTAATTATTCTATTTTGAATGATAAAATGATCAAAGCTCAAATTTGCAGTTTTTCTTGATTTGGCCATCCTAACCAGTTTCATACAAAGAAATGAAGTGAAAAAAAGGAAGAATAAGGTTTTGTCTCTTATTTCACTTGCTTTGCATTCTCTGATGATGGAATGGTGTTACATCTTTGGATGTGATTAACCTCCTGTGAGCAAAAGGCTGGAATTTATCACATTGGCCATCAAAATATTTTTAAATGTATTTTATAATTTCTTTCAAAAATATATGAGGATTAATCTTAAACAGTGCAGGTTTTGTTCACAGTGTCATTGGAAAATTGGTTATAATTTTAGTGACTAGGCATCTTCTAATTCATAGCCTACCTTTATCAATGGCCAGTTTATATTCACTTGTTTTCTGGGTGATACATTGTTTAATGTAAGCAGCTCATCTCCCTTCCTTGAAGTCTTTTTGAATTATATTTATAGAAACCAATCCTCCATTTTGCAAGACTGATTAAGGCAACCTCATCTATTCTGCTCTCATTCTAATGGTTCATCTCTGTACCTTTTCCACAAGGAGTTCATCTCTTTTGAACATGGATGATTAGAAAAGCCTGTGGGATATTCTAGGTGAGATTTCACCAGTGCCTGGCTAAATAAACTTAATCCTACTTTATTGGGAACAGCTCACTTGGTATGTAGTAAAGTGACATTTGTACTGCATCCATGAGAAAGTCATTAATGGCTCATAGACTTTCTCTGATGAAGCAGTGCTCCTACTCATTCTTCTCAGTCATTATCAACTGGTGAGCTTCCATTTTATAGAAGGTCATGTTGCTAATCCCAGTGCACAATATCTTTAAGTTATGTTGAATTTTGATCCAGTTTTTCCAGTAGCCAAGATCATCCATTTCATTCTGCATGTTTTTCTGCTGCTTCTGTGAATTGATAGTGTTTAAATTTATGCAATTATTACACCTTCAATTTGTGACAGTGTCATAAAATGCACCCATTCTGATCCTTAGGAAGTCTCCCTAGTAATCCCAGCACCTCTCAACATTGTTCAAAGCTACTTCTTGTTCAGTGCCCAAATCCCATTCTGTTATAATGGCTTATTTACTAATTTCCCCATTGTGACACTATAGTAAGGACCTTACTGAAGCCCAGATACTGAGAACACCTATGCTTCCTTCTGTAGATAACTGTTTTTCAGGTAAATGTGATGTAAACAGTTTGGTACATTTATATTGTCCATTGAAACAGTTTCCCATTATTTCAACATTTTTTAATTTATCCTTTTTTAAAAAAACCTTTGTTCTAAACCTTTGTGTATTACTGAGGCAAGGTTAAGGTCTGTAATTGTCCAGATCTTGTCTCTCCTCCCTCTGGTCTTTAATGTCAGCACTATGGTTGCCATTATTTGGTAATATCTAACCAGCTTTGTTTAAAATGCTTGCTACTGGGCCTGCAATTTCACTTGCTGTGTCTGTCAGAATTTTGGAATGGAGTCATACCCCCAGCTTCAGTACATTAAATTAATGAGTTTAGCTTTTATCTCAGCTGTAATTAGTTTTTCTGTTTACATGTTTTTGTAGATGCCTTTTTTCTTTTTTTTCTTTCACTTGATCAGTCTCCTGGAAATCGTCATGGTAAAGCTGGACATGAAGTGCATGATTCCGTTTGACAAAGGTGACCAGAATATTGCAGCATGTAACTGTGTCCAGCTGTTTAGTATCTGACAGATTTAATTATCTGAAGTTATCATAGTGACTTGCCTAAGCATTTCAAGAGAAATTTTATGTGGTAGAATTCTCTGGAAGATTGCCCAGATGCTGATGAAAAATGTCAAATTACAAATGAAAAGTAAAAGCCCCTATTACTGGAATTATTTTCTTTTTTGTGATTTTTTTTTTTTTGAAAATTCATTTGACCTTATTTTTATACTGTCTATTAGACTTACAAATTGAAATCTGTGAAATAAAAACAATCCTATTTCCTTATTTTTAGTTTGTTGATTCATAGAGCTCTTTCTGTATTAGGCTTTTAAGCTGTTGAGGATGCAGAGTTTCGCATGACTGATTTGGTCAATCGAGTACTTCATCTGATCTAATGATAGAAAGAGTGGGATCTCTTTGAGTATGAGAAGTGCTATGTAAATACCTTCAATAAAAATTGGATTTCTGTTTAAAAAAATTTAGGTGAGGATCCATATCAATGAATTGTTTAAGAAAAAACCAAACAAAGCAGATCATATGCATAGTAATGTCTCTAAATTCAGACAGAGGTGTATTTTTTTTGTCTGAATGATGCAATATTTAAGATGCTGAAGAAGTGTGAAAGAGATCAAAACTGCATATATACATTTCAGTATTCAAAATTCAGACAGCTCAACTAAATTTTAGAATGGGAAATAGAAGGAGAAACTGTAATACTGCTTTTGACTTTTATTTCAGAAAGATGTTGCTGGACCTCTGTTCTCAAGTTTAGGTAGTTATCCATAGCATATGGTTTTTATTATGCAAGAAGGAACAGCTATTCATATTTCTGCACAAGTCATGTAAAGCTATGCAATATGCAATTTTACTGTGACAGTGTTCTAAATGCTACATGAACCAGTCAGATATAAATGCAAAATATTCTATTGTGCATATGATCAACACCATTGTGTAAATTTATGTAGAGAAATAGTCATTTTTCCCTGAAAAGCATATATGCCAATCTTTAGACTGATCACTATTTAATTGAAAAAATGAGGACAGTGTTGGTGATAAAGATGTATCTGTAGGTTGACTCCTCACCAACCCTCTTACATAAATTGTGTCAAGTACATCTATTTGTTAGCAAGGTAATATGTATGTAAAATACAGTATTATTGGTACAGATTTGATGTTTGTGTTCAGAGTTGCAGTTCTTAATAGCTTGATAATATCCAACTAGAGACTGGAATAAAATACTAGTTACATTACACTACATATAAATAATGTAAATATACTGTGTCAGATATAAACAGTGTATTACACAAATATCAGCATTCATACACACAAAAAATCAGCACAAGTCTTCCAGTTTAATCTGTTCTTTATAACTTGCTATAAGCACTCGTTACTGAAAAAAATGTAACTTGCTTATAGAGGCAGTGCCTGGAAACCATTTAATGCAAGTAGAATAGGAACAGTAATAACTGAAATTATGAGTCTTTTCACTGAACAGAAGAATCCGAAGGAAAAAGAGGTAATCTTAAACTACCTACATAATGTCAGATAAAAATGGAAATGGAATTTAAACTAACTTTCAGATGAAGCAAGGTGTATGGTGGTGTGTGCTAGCCTTGGATAAATAACTTTTATAATGGCAGCCAATTTAGGTTAAGAATTAGGAGACTGCTCCATTTTGGAAGTCCTTGTCCACACTTTCTGTTCTTCTTACATAATCTTCAAGAGGCTGTAAGTGAATTATTTCTTCCATATCACATCCATAGAACTGGCTGCCTAATCATCATAGGCTCTTTTGAATAGGCTATAGGAAATACTTCCTGGCTTGCTCTTTTTGTGGCTTATGTCATCAGCTGGGAAGATGGAGGGGAAAAAAATGGAAATTTCAGGGCCACAGGCAACAAGAAGTCACTTAACCTCTCTGCCTTTTTTATTGCTATGGTAAAATAGTTTCCAATTGTGTTTTATTCTTCAGTCATAACGGCTCTTGTGAATGGTTTTATTTGGTGTCTCTCTGCAGTTATTAATGATGTGATGTAAAATGTGGATTTAAGTGCCAGTTTAATGAGCTGCTATCAAATTATCCTTTTGTGAATTTTCAGCAACCGAGTAGGTATATTTGCAGTTAAATAACTAAGAAACAGTAGTTGGAAACTGATTTAACTCAATAATCTTACAGTTTACTAGCAAAGTGTCTATCTGTATCCATATGTACTTTGAGCTACCTTACATTACATGCTTCTCACAACTCACAGCAGTTCAGTTTCTGGCAGGCTTCTCCAGACAGTTTCCCCTTGATTTAGTACAGGTGTTCCTAACGCAGCTGAAGTAGCTGGAGCACTGAATTCTCATCAGCCATCTCTGGCTGGACAAAGTTAAGGTTGAGAGAGAATTAATTGTAACTCTTAATTTCATATTTTCCAAAAGGTTTGGGCTTTTTTTTTTTTTTGTTATGTGTGTGTGCTGAACTCACACATGGGAGAGTATGAGATACTGCCTGGCACCTGTAACAATGATGTATTTGTGATTTAATTAAGAATAACAGATAATAGTCTAATAACATTATCCAACTGCAGGTATTTTGATACATTGCTATAAAATTACTTCTTAAAACAAGTCCCTAGTTATTGCTGTGTTTAGAATTATAGTGAAAATGATTTTATATACTTAAAACTCCTAGTATTGACTGTTAAGGCTCACTAAACTTAAACACTAAGTTTAGGCTTAGTGTTAAGCCTAAAACCTGTGTCTTTTGTACATCTGTTGCAGGGTCTAACTCTTGGCTCGTACCAGAAACAAAAGGAGCAATTGTGCAAGGTGGATATGGCCATACTAGTGTCTATGATGAACTGACAAAATCTGTTTATGTCCATGGTGGATACAAAGCATTACCTGGCAATAAATATGGTTTGGTGGATGATCTTTACAGATATGAAGTTAATACTCGGACATGGTAAGTGGGGTTTATAATGTAGGAAACTAAGTTGTTTGTTACTGAAAAAGAAAACATAAGTGTAGAGTAAAGTCACGTAGGCACCTCCATATCCTTTGCACGTTGCAGAACAGTACATTCCCTGCAACAAAATGGAAGAATTGTGGTGAGGGATTAGACTTTAGCCAAGGGATTAATGGAGCTACACATCAAAGGAATGGCAGGGAGGAAGCTTTGCACATGTTCTACAAATTAAGAAAAGGTTCTCCTGTCCAGACATAACCACCATGCAGAAATAGTACACGTGTACTGTTTCCACATGGTATGAATATACTGGTGATGCACATTCAAGTGCCTGTTGTATAAATAAGCAGAGAAATCTTAGAACTGTGGAAGGTTATTTTTCACAAAATTATCAGAAATCAGAGAAAATTCCTGATATTGTATAGGGATCATTAGTTATTAATATTCTTGGTGTTTCTATTTTTGTCAGTTCCATGTCCCTCAAGTTTATTGTAACTTATGAATGCTACTTATATGTTATGTATAGAAAGTGACCTTAAATGTTTTTTCTTACCTTAGAGATGATTTGAGTCAAGAACTATTTCTCAGAACATTTTATTCTTGCAATTTAATATTTGTGTTGAGCACTAATGGCTTAACTTTAAGCACACAAGACTTGCTCTCAGATGTTGGAAACGTGGGTTTGATTTCACTGGGGCTCTTGATTTTGAATGCCACTAACTCATGGCACTTGGCAACATTATTACAATCCTTTACAAGAATTTTTTTTCCCTTTTAATGTATTTTTAAATGGCTGGAATTTTAATGCTCTCTTATTATACTCTATTCTTGGAACAAAGTGATAGTGTATCCTTTGAAGGTCTATTCAACAGTATAATAATAATTATTGGAATATTTTTATTCATTATTCGTATAAAAACTAATAATGAATGCTTCTATCTATACTAATGTGGCATTCTCTGCAGCATGTAGAGAACTTAACTTTTATTCGTTTCATGAGTATTACACTGGAAGTCAATTGTACTATGGGACTGAAAACTGGCTGAGAGAATGGAGTAATGACACTTATGTAGTAATAAAATCTTTGTTTACTGTATCTGTGACTTCTTATACTCAGTATTCAAAGAACTCGGTGAGGCAACTGAGCCAGAACATGCCACTGGCTAGGTGGGGTATGAGGAAGAGGTGGAGTCATGACAGCTTTCTCATGCCCATGTACGTGGCTTTTTTCACACTCGCATCTGCTTGTCCTCACTGTCTCTGTTTTTCTCTTGCATTCACTCTGTTTCTCTGTCTGATCTGGCTGAGGTTCATATGTTTCACTAAGTCATAGAATCATAGAATGGTTTGGGTTGGAAGGGACCTTAAAGATCATCTAGTTCCAAGCCCCTTGCCATGGGCAGGGACACCTTCCACTAGACCAGGTTGCTCAAAGCCCTATCCAACCTGGCCTTGAACACTTCCAGGGATGGGGCATCTACAGCCTCTCTGGGCAACCTGTTCCAGTGCCTCACCACCCTCATAGTGAACAATTTCTTCCTTATAGATAATCTAAATCTACCCTCTTTCAGTTTAAAACCATTACCCCTTGTCCTATCACGACATGCCCTTGTAAAAAGTCCCTCTCCAGCTTTCTTGTAAGCCCCCTTCTTGATATTCAAAGTCTTGGTATACAAAGCTGATTACTTGTTTTATTCAGTGGCATGTGGGTTTTCATTTCATCATATAAATCAGGCATAAGCTTTATGGTTCTTGGAATGGGAGGGGGCGATATTTTAATTCCAAGTGTGAACATTATTTCTAATATATGATGGAGAATTCCAGTGTTTGTAATACCTGCATTGCTTTGCATTACTTGCATACTGCTGCAGTTGGCAACTGGGGGGCAACGTGGTGCTGGGCTTAGATAATGGCCTGAAACAGTGGAAGCACCTGCTGGCTCCTGGGTATTTCTATTATTACCATTATAATATCATGCTGCTGTATGCAACACTTGGTTTTGGTATAGTTAACATGGACTAATGTTTGCAGATACACGTATATGTGCATAAATAATGAATTCAGTGTAAAGTGTGCTGAGACTCTCACATAATTTGCATGGGGTTGATACATGTTGGAGAGTTATGAAGATTGCTCTCATCAGTAATGCTAATGAATAGTGAAAATCATGCCCAAATTAACAAACTTGGTCTGTATTACTCTTCTACTTCTGCTGAATCTTGCAGAAAAGTTACTGTTGTCAGGATGGATGAAACTCAGTACACAATATACAAAAATTAGGGACACGCCCCCCACCCCCCCGGGCCCCCTACAATGTGGGGACCAGGGCTGGGGCAACGCAGTTGGGTGACAAGTAGATAAGTGAGTAGCCCAAAGAAAAACTGTGGGGATTGCTATTATATCCACTGTGGAGAGGAGAGAGTCCTTAGTTTTCCCCAGAACACTGTACGGCTCTTTAGGCCTTTAGTGATGAAGACAACTATTTGTAGACAGCTGCAAGGCAGGATAATCAAGACAGAGCCTAGTGTATAGCAATTAATGTAAATTAGGAGGTAGGAGCTGTAGAAAACTGGTGAAGCAAAAGACAAAAAGAAATCTATAGTCCAAATGGATAAGGACAACATGTTCTTAGTATATTACCATTCTTTCAACTCATTGCAGCACTATTCCTCTATTACTAGTTGAAAATAACTGTTAAAAATAATGTCTTATTCTATTTCTTTGTCATTCCTAATTTTATATGTTGCTAACTGATGAGTTGAGACCAAATATCACGTTTTTCTGGGTAGGTACCATAAGTGTTCTGTATCAAGCTAATTCCTGGTTAGAAAAACACACTTATGTGGTGCTCTATTTTCAAAGTATATTAATCAGAAATACACAACAAAAATGCAAGTCACTTAACAGAACAAAAAAAAAAAAGGGTTAAAACCAGAAGCACATTGGTGGATATGCTGGTGGCTTGAAAGAATTATTGCATTTTTAAGCAATTAAAAAAAAAATCTCATTTACGTTCATTTAGTCTTTGGTATTTCCTTTGATGTTACTTTCTAGGGGTAGGGGGGACTCTATTTAAATGACAATGTAGAACTTAAGTTTAATGCCTTCCTCTCAGATGGTTAAACATACGATCTCTTATTACTTAAAAAATATCTCAAGTTTATTGATTGATTTACATCGTTATGTCAAAACAATAAGACATACTTTAAACCCTCTCCCCAAACCCTATGATGATGTAAAAATACTGAACAAATGTTATAAGTGTGATTCAAGAGAGACAGTATTATTCAATCAGAGGAAAAGATTGTCAAGTCAGTATGTTCATTACAGGAAACGAATGACAGAACAGTTTAATTGTAGGTGTGAGCAGCGTGCAGTAACACAAGTGAAAGTGAGAGTCTAAACTTGAAAACTGTTAGATGACTGACACAAAAGGTTATTAGGGGAATGTAAATAATATTCTGTACTGGCGATATAATCAGCTCTTCACAAACATTTCTACAGCTGGTCTACTTAACTAATTCAAGCTGGCAAAACCTACAAATGGTTACTCTCTCCCTTGCTAAGATTTATTTGCTGTGATTGAATCAAGTTTGTATTCTGTTCTCTCTACTAGCCCCACACCTGCCACTTTAAAACTGTGGTATTGATAGCTCTTGGCTACTGTTGGGCCCATGTTATTGCTCTGGCACAAAGCAAAACTGCACAGACACAGGCTAAAATGAATGAAGACTCAATGTGTGTGGACTACTTTTTTTTTTTTTTGGTACTGAAATTCTGTGTTTGAGTTTGCCAGCCTGAATATATTTATGAAGCAGTGCAAGTGTGTTTCATCGTACCTAGAATGACTTCTACCATTTCTTTTCCAGGTCTGAGTGTTCAATTAATTAAAAAAAAAAAAAAAAAGTTTCTCCTTTTCCAATACTTAGGATGGTCTAATGATTCTTTTAGCCTTCTAAAGAGTTCTTTATTGCATTTCTTGAGCAAAAAACCAACTTGGCTAAGGATATATAAGAATCAGAATTAATAATATGAATAGGTTTTCACTCAGTTTTGAGTAAAATTAACCATATCATTAATCACTTCTGAAAAATGTAAACATGATATAATTTTTTCTGATAAGTTATTTGACAAACTTTTTTTTTAATTAGAAAAAAATTAATGGCATTTGTCCTGGTTTCATCGGGGATAGAGTTAATTTCCTTCCTAGTAGCTGGTACAGTGCTGTGTTTTGGATTTAGGATGAGAATAATGTTGATAACACACCGATGTTTTAGTTGTTGCTAAGTAGCGCTTACACTAGCCAAGGACTTTTCAGCTTCCCATGCTCTACTGACTGAGAAGGCTGGAGGTGCACAAGAAGCTGGGAGGGGGCACAGCCAGGACAGCTGACCCAAACTGGCCAAAGGG